TACGGTCTACGGTCAAAAAATTTAAAATGTAAAGTATGGTGGATAACTGAATATTAGGGGAGGTAACATACTCCCCCTTTTTTATTTTCTTAAAATACTGTTTGAGAGTGGCATGGGTGCGCTCCACAATAGCCTGTCCCGTGGGGTTGTGAGGAATACCAAAAGAATGGACAATGTGATGTTCCCTGCAAAAGGCAGCAAAGCGATTGCTGGCATAGGCAGGGCCATTGTCCGTTTTTAGGGCATCGGGTACGCCCATGTAGGCAATGAGAAATAACATCTTTAATCTTCTCTCCTGAGTGGAGAGAGGCAAAAATCAGTTTAGAATACGTATCCACTGAGACATGCATGTATTTTAATTTCCCTGCCTGCGGCAGGTGAGTGACATCCATTTGCCAGAGATGGTTGGCCCTGAGGCCCCTGGGATTTACCCCCTCATTGGGAGAATTATGATAAGGGGCACAATCAGGGCACTGAGAGGTAATCTGTGTAGCTATGGATAAGGGGCACCCAGTGTGAAATTTAATGGAGCGGGCATTTAGATGATACCGCTCATGGAGCTGGTGGGCAAGCTGCTCCTGAGTAAATAAGATCCTAGGGCGGGTCAAGGAGTCAGCAATTTCATTGCCCTGGGCAAGGGGTCCTGGAAGGTTAGTATGTGCACGAATAAATCCCACATAAGCAGGGTGGATGCGCTGCCAAATAAGATGTTGGAGCTGAACTAATAAGGAATGAACCTGGGAGGTTGGAAGAACATATGGAGAAGTTTCTAAAGGTCTAACAATGTTGGCAACATAAACACTATCAGTATATAAATTAAAGGGCTCTCCCTCAAACATTTGGAAAGCCATCAAGCATGCAAACAACTCGGCAGCTTGTGCTGACATCTGCCCTATGGGTACCCTCTTCCGTACCTGAGAAGAAACCACCACCGCAAAACCCTTGGAGGAGCCATCTGTAAAGACTGAGCGAGCTCCAACTAGAGGGTTCTCCTTTAAAATCTTGGGAAAGATCACAGGGTGTTGTTTGAAAAAAGACATCAAGGGGCTATTAGGATAATGGTTATCAAACTGGGCGCCTGTAGATGTAATAAACAGGGTCCACCCATCATGGAAGATCTGTAGATGTTCCACCTCCTCCTTACCATAAGGAAGGATAATTTTATCAGGACTCTTTCCAAAGGTTTGAATGCTAAACTTGTGTGCCTTCCACAACAATTGTAAAATGAGATCATAGTAAGGGGTCACTACCTTCTTAGGGGAGGCTGACAAATGTATCCAATAAATAGGACCAGTCTGCCAAAACACGGCAGTGGGCGAAAAGCTAGATGAAAGTACAACCAGAACAAGGGGCTGCCCATAATCTATACGCCGAAGGTGGGCTTGCTCTATACTTCTTAACAACAATTGTAGGGCTTCCCTGACCTCTGGGGTAATCTGTCTAGGGGAAGTTGGAGCAGGGTCCCCAGGAAGAATATCATAAAGCGCTTTAAGAGCCCCTGTTTTAATAGAAAGAGAAGGGTGAAACCACTGCACCTCTCCCAAAAATCTCTGCCAATCATGAAGTGTTTTTAAATTTGAACAATCGATTTGGAGTCTTTGTGGCCAGAGGCCAGTTTGTTGAATTTGATGACCCAAATAAGTATAAGGGGGTCTCTTTTGGATCTTTTCAGGAGCCAAAATAAATCCTCGGGCCTCCAGAAGCTCCTGTAGCTCTGCAAAGGCTATGTAACATTGTCTTTCTTCGGCCGCGGCCAAAAGAATATCATCCATGTAGTGGATAATGTAAAGATCAGGGAACTTACGTCTGAGGGGATCTAAACAGGCAGCTACATAAATCTGGCATATAGTTGGACTATTAGCCATCCCTTGGGGGAGCACCACCCATTGGAAGCGAAGGGCAGGCTCCCTAAAGTTAATCGCAGGAAGGCTAAACGCAAACCGAGGACTATCTTGAGAATGCAAGGGAATAGAAAAGAAGCAATCCTTCAAATCAATGACAATCAAATGCCAGTCTCTAGGAATGGCCACAGGCACGGGCAAGCCAGGCTGCAGAGCCCCCATAGGCTGCATGGTCGCATTCACAGCCCTCAAGTCGTGTAGTAACCTCCATTTCCCTGAAGATTTTTTTATTACAAATATAGGGGTATTCCAAGGGGATGTGGAAGGAACCAAATGACCTGCCTCCAATTGTTCTTGAACTAGCTGGTGAGCCGCCCTTAGTTTCTCCGCTGGTAAGGGCCACTGTTCCACCCATACCGGATCATCTGATAGCCATGTGATGGGTATGGGGGCTGGCGGCGCAACAGTGACCCTCATCAAAAATGGCCAAAACCCTTCCTATCCCCTGGGGCCCTGGTCTCCAAAGGGAGGGATGCCACAGGGCAAACCTCTCCCTGTTCTAGTTTACCTAGTTCTCTCCCCGGGCTCCAGCCCCTCCCTTGTGTCATCTGGGGGCCCCTGCTTTTGGACTTGGGTGCCTGAGTGGTGAGGACCACTCCCATTTCTTGCATGAGGTCCCGTCCCCAGAGGTTAATAGGGAGGCCAGGCAAAACATATGGCTGGAAAAGCCCTGTGTGGCCTTCAGAGTCTTGCCACTTTAAGATTCTGAGGCTTTTTTGGGGCACAGCCTGTCCTATTCCCTGGAGGGTCACTGTTCCTTCCTCTTTCGGCCAGGCGGGGGGCCAGAATTTATCTGAGAGGACAGAGAAATCTGCCCCAGAATCTAAGACGCCCCTAAAGGACTTGCCTTCTATCTTTAATGTAAGCTGGGGGCGGTTCTCCATAGTGGCTACCCAAAATGCTGCCGGGCCGGTACTTCCAAAACCTTGGTTGCCCCTTTTCTCTTTAATTTTTCTAGCCTCACAAGGAGCTGTAGGGAGAAGGAGTATCTGAGCAATCCGTTCTCCTGCAGGGATGGCAACAACCCCACTGCCCACTGATGTCATTATTTTAATCTCCCCCTCACTATCCTGGTCTATAACACCGGGGTGTACCTGGATGCCTCGAAGAATAGTACTGGACCGTCCCAAAAGTAGTCCGACCGTGCCTGGGGGCAATGGCCCATGCACCCCAGTAGGGAGGGCCTGGATCCCCATTTCCGGTGTTAGGATTGCCCGGGCAGAGGGAGTGAGGTCCAATCCTGCACTCCCCGAGGTGGCTCTAAGGAGGTCTGAGATATGAAGGGGTTGCTCTGGGGGAGAAAATGAGTCCTGCCACTGCCCAGAGCAGGGGTCATTGCCCCGTACACATTGGTTTTGGGGCCCTGGGGCGGGGCCCTCCTCCCGTTTCCCTGATTATTATTAGCAGAAAGGAAATTTCCTCCCTGTCAGTTTTAGAGTAGCAGTTATTGGCCCAATGATATCCCCTTCGACAACGGGGCATAAACCAGGTCTCTTGAGACCCGTAGTACTATTTTGAGGGCACTCTCTACGGAAGTGTCCCTCCCTACCGCAGCTAAAACATGTTTTTCTCCCTCCCAGAGTAGGTCTTTCTTTCCCCACTTGGGGCCGAATAGCAGCAGCTAACACTTGGCCCTGGATGAAGTTCCCATCAATGTCCCTACAGATCCGGATATAGTCATTTAGACTTTTATTGCGATAGGGGCGAAGGGCTTCCTTACAATATTTATTTGCATTTTCAAATGCCATCTGCTTTATGACTGGCATCGCAGGCCCAATGCCCCCAAATATTCTTTCTGCTACCTGACTGAGACGGTCTACGAAGTCTTGAAAAGGTTCGTAAGGTCCTTGAAGGACTTTGGACAGATGATCCCCTCCTTCCTTGGAAGGCAATGCTTTCCAAGCCCCTTGGGCTGCTGCTGCCACTTGGGCATAGACTGCGATGTCATATTGCATTTGTTGCTGAATGGTGGCGTATTGACCACTCCCGGTAAGCATCTCCACATTTCTCTGGGGCTGTCCGGCCTGTGCATTTCTTTGGGCTGTCTGGCTGCATCTTTCCTGAAACTCACCTCTCCAAATCAAATAATCTCCCCCCCGACAGAGCTGCTCTGCAAAGCTGCTGCCAATCGCCAGGTGTCAAATTAAGAGACGAAAAGATTCCATTAAGGAAAGTGTAAAGGGAGCCTGTGCTCCATAATTTAAAGTTGCCTCTTTAAGTTGTTTTATATCCTTAAAATTTAAAGGGTTATGATGCCGAATGACCTGTCCAGAATTGTTCGGATCTGTAACTTCCATTACTGGGGCCACCACCTGGCAGCATTGGACCCCTCCTCTGGGTCTTCCCTCCAGGTCCGAGAAGGACTGGGTTATCTCATAGGAGGAGTCCCTTTTTTCAGAGTATGGGGAAGGGTTTCTCTCCCTGTCCTGTCTTTCCTTAATTAGAATCTTTTTTAGTTCTTTTTTAAGGGCCGAGATCTCAGCAAGTAACCGTTCCTTTTCAGACTGTGACGAGTCTGAGTCTGAGCTACTTCCATTTTCTAGGTCTGATAGAGAAGGATATAACCGATTCTGACCGGAGTCCTTCTTTTTGGGTCGCGCCCGGAGATGTCTACCCGTTTTTTTGTTGTTACTAAGAGACTCCTCCTCATCCTCACTAACAATGGAGCCTCTAGTTTCAGTCACGGTCTCTTCATCATCACTCTCTGCCCCTGAACTCAAGGAGGCTTGAGTCTCAGTCTCTTGTAACTCTAAAAAAGCCTCTTTTGTGTCCTGAACTACCTGGCGGTGACGAACCTTATCTGTCAAAAGTGCTCCCCTCACTAATCTCCATAAGGAGAATGTCGTAGGGGGCAAGGACTCAGATCCCTCTTTTCGTAAAAGTCTATGAAGATCACGGCGAGCCTCCTCCCAATCTGGAATATTTAAGCTTCCCCCAGTAATGAACCATGGACTGGCTCGTTCGATCGATTTTAGAAAGCCTTCTAGGGTTTTAGACTTGACTGCAGTCCCATGTTCTTTAAGTAACTTTTTTAGTTGATACTGTAATGATTCTAGCTTCCCGGAACTATTCCCCATAGTTTCTTAACCCGTCCACTTACCTCGCTTTCATGATCTCAGTGGGACCTCCAATTGTCATGTCTGCTGCGCGGCCTGTGTCCGAGAACGTGCGGAGGGTGTCGGGTATTGAAAACACAGAGATTCGTTCAATGATATAAAGAAAACTTTAAACAGGCTCCAAAAAGGTTCAAGAAAACCTCCTAAGAAAGGCTCCCACCAGAGAAGCTTCTGCTCTCTCCTCTACCCTGGCTGGTTCTGCTCTGACCCCAGAGGTGGATGTGTGTGGGTTTTTGAAGGTGCGGTTAGTCTTTGGACAAGGTCGAGGTCAGGGCGGTTTCTGTGGGAAGGCCTTTCCCAGGAACTTATTGTATCGTTTTTAGTAAACATGTTTTTACTAAACATTGTCTTACAGCTGCCTACTCCCAGGCAGAAGGGGAAGTGGCCAGGAACTTATTGTATCGTTTTTAGTAAACATGTTTTTACTAAACATTGTCCTACAGCTGCCTACTCCCAGGCAGAAGGGGAAGTGGGTCTCTGCTCAAGGTCTGGTGTTCCCACAATTTATAATAGCCAGAACCTGGAAGCAACCTAGATGCCCCTCAAACAGAAGAATGGATGGAGAAAATGAGGTACATTTACACAATGGAGTATTGCTCAACAGAAAAAAAAACATGAAATCTTGAAATTCACAGGCAAATTTGGATGGAACTGGAAAAAAGCATCCCGAGTGAGGTAACCCAACCACAGAAAGACAATCAGTATATGTACACACTCATATATGGATATTAGACATAGAGCAAAGGACTACCAGCCTACAATCAACACCACCAGAGAAACTAGGAAACAAGGAGGTCCCCAAGAGAAGAACATATGGTTGCCTGAAGAAGGGGAGGGGGACAAGAACCCCTGAGCAAATTGGGAGCATAGAGGGGGGAGAGGATGGAGGTGGGAAGGAAAGAGGGGGAGAAGTCTGTCATTCTTTTATCAATAAGCATTTATTGAAGACTTACTTTGTGCCTATCACTGTAGTCCTTGAAAAGGCATATCATTGCAAAAACTAGCCCATGCTCTTACCATATCTGACTGTACTTTGCGAACACATGCTCTTATCTTATCTATCTGACCGTACCTTTTATAGACACTTAATGACACTGAAGTGTTGTAGGCTGAGCTCTCGTCTTCCTGAAAATCCTGTTTTCAAGCCATAATTTCTGATATAAGTATGTTTGGCTAGAAGGGCAAGGGGGGCTTATGATATGGCTCAGTGGGTAAAGGTGATTGCTGCCAATCCTGACAACCTAAGTTCAATCCTCTCAGAGTAGAAGAGAACTGAGTCTCAATGATTGTCCTCTGACCTCCCCTAGAGGAATGCCTGACCCCTGAGGAGGGACAAGTGGAGGAATCCTGGCAAGGCAGCTATCTACTAGGGAGAGAGGCCTCAACAGAATCCAGCCCTGATGGTAGCTCAGTCTTTGACCTTCAGCTTCCAGGCCTTCAAGGAAACAAGTTCTGTGATTTACATCACCCGGGCTACAGTACTTCATTATAGAAGCCCAAGTTGACTCATGAAGAGATCATATAAGAAGATGGGAAATATGAAATATGGCTTATCTTACATTATGAGCATAACAAAATATAGAATAACATAGAATAGCCATGGGAATACATCTCTGGGTGTGTTTGTGAAGGGATTTCTAGATGGGCTTAACAGGAGAAAGAAAATCAACTTGACTGTGGGCAGGGATGTCCCATGGGCTGGAATGAGAAGGAGAATGCAAGCATTCTCCAGTCTCGGCTTCCTGACTGCAGACTCAATGGGGCCAGCTGCCTCGTGCTCCTGCTACCATACCTTCACCACAGGATGGACTTTCTCCTCTTCCTTCAAACGGCGAACCAAAATGAACTTTTCTGTCCTTCAGTTAATTTTGTTGGGTATATCGCAGCAGTAAGAGAGGAGACTGTTCCTGGAAGGGAGAAGAAATCGCCTACAGAATAAGAAAATTGAGTCATTGCACTCCTCAACTTGAATTTCCTTTACATCTATCTAACAAAGTCAGTCATTTCTTCACTCATTCGGGTAAGGAAAATCTCTTACTCGTCCGATCATTACCTGGCTGTCTCAACACTGTCAAAAGCCTTTGCTGTGTGGTTCTGTTAGGCTCCCAGGGTTTTGCCACTGCTCCCACAGTGCACCTGGCCTGGCTCATGGATCAGCTGCTGCTGCTCAGGGTCTGCTCCAAATATGGCTGCCTCCTGCTCAGGTTCTTCTCATTCTAGTGAGCCAAATGCAATCATTCTCAGAGCTGGTTCTAAATGGACAAATAGGGCATCTCTTTGAAGATAGTCTCCTGGCTCTTGGACTAAGCAGCCCGATGGCTAGCTCACTGCCACAAGGCCCCATGTCCTATTTTAATTCGTTGGGTTTGTTATCTATTGCCATTTAATTAATCTCCATAAACCTAGCAGATGAACAGTCCACATTTATCCTTCCGATATTTGCAGGTCAGTGATGTGGGATGTCCTTCTGTATGCTGAGAACATGTGTTGCTTGTATTAGTTGATGAATAAAGATGTTCAGCCAATGGCCAGGAAAAATATAGCTAGACAGGAAATCCAAACAAAGATGCAGAGAGGAGGAAGGCGGGGTCAAGGAAATGACATGTAGCTTCCAGTGAAGTAAGATGTGAGGTGACAAGCCATGAGCCTTTATATGGTGAAATAGAATGTTAGAAATCGGTTAATTTATAGGTACAGCTAGCCAGTAAGAAGCCTGAGCCACTGGGAAAACAACTATATTTAATGTATTAGTCTCTGAGAGATTATTTCATACGTGGGTGCAGGGACCCAGTAGGCAGGAGAGAAACTGGTCCAGTGACAACGAGTGAGAGAGAAAAAGTTCCAACTGCAGGTCAGGGTCCTGCTGTTCTTGAGGATCTATTACAGACTGAGCTCAAGTTGCCTACCAGAACTGGGGGTCTGTCTGAACACTTGCCTGGGGAAGGATTCCTCTCCATGCTCACACACTTAGCAGAATTCTGTTCCTTATTGTTACACTGCCACTTCGGTTGACTGTGGGGTTAATGGCAGTAAGAACCCAATAATCACCTTCTTGAGGGAATATGCAACATGGGTATTTCCTTCCCCAGGGCACAATAGCCAAGAAAACAAAGGATGTCTTCTAATAAGGTAGAGGTTGTAACTGCCTATGATTTGGCTATGGATTTCCTCTCATTGCCTTTGCTTGTGTTCATTAGAAGCAAATCTCTAGATCGTAACTACTCATGGCATTAGGAAGTGGGCATCGTTGGGTCTCATCTCAGAGGCTGCCAGTAGGAAAGACGTCACTCGAATTCATCAGTCATTTCTCCATTTTTTTTTCTGCCTTGCTGGAAAAACCACTTAGTTTATTATTTTGCAAGAAAAGGAGTCTAGGCAGGTGATACTGGTTTGGTTGTGATCATCAATCTTTTAGGGATGAGTTAATTCTATGAAATTTCTCTGCACTCCAGACACCTACTACCTTTTATCAGCTACTGAGGTGACTGACAGGTACCACCTACCAAAATAAAAAATCTTCTTCTCTCAGAAAATACATCATGCTGTCCTAATTTCTTGAGCCAGAAATCTTACCTCTCCCTCATTCTGCATCCATGGGGAAGAATATCAATCAAGCACTTCCAAATTCACCTAAGGTACGTGGAAGATGAGCTGTATGGAAATAGAGGTAGCTACTTAGTGACAGTGATGGTGGAGGTGAGCACAACCACAAAGGAATTTCTCTGTGATTTTGGTAAATACTGACCTCTTTAGAGCCGTTATAAGGAGAGCAGGGGCTGGAAGGACATGCACCAAAAAGCAGCTGTGACAATCAAATGAAATGTTATCTATAAAATGTTTGGCATGTACAGATCCTACAAGCCCTCCATATATGGTAAGCTAACATACATGTTGTGGTTAAGTATCACACCTAACTGTCATCACTGGTTCACCAACTTAACATTCTCTTGCAGTTTTCACCTTAAGGATGAAAAAACAAATGGTGCATTTCCCCAGACTCTCTTGCAGCTACAGGCATGGTGGGGCTCATGGAATGTCTTTGTCTTTCTAAGAATTTCTTCTTTCAGGTTTTAGACCTGAAATGTTGGTCAAGGTCACAACTGCTTTAAAATTTTTTTCTACATTTAGTGTGGAGGGTTGGGTGGCAGGGTGGGTAATTTCTTATAGGGAGTTTAATGTGGGGAAATTGTGTGAGTCATAATTATATGATTTATAGCACATTTCATTTGCTCTTCTATCTAATTTCATTGAAGGACTGTGTTCCTCATAGGGAGGACAGACGCAAGGTTTTCAAGACTCAGCTGTCTATCAGCACAGGAGAAAAGCAAACACTAAAAGGGGGAAGGACTTCAAAGAGACAAACGGGGGAGGAAAGCAAGACATGGTATACCCACTGTGACACTAGTCTTTTTGGGATTGAACTCAAACAGCGCACAAGAATAAACCTATTATGTGACTTCCCCACATTCTAGCTCTTCCTAAGAATTCCGAAGAGTGATATTTCAGGCTGTTAAGAACCATCTCCATGGATATGCAAATATGCAAAGTAGATATCTGGGTAAGCAGACAAGATGAAGGGCCCAGTAAGGACTCATTTGCCTCAGAACGTTTGGTTTACCAGCTTGCCTAGAGCATTCTAATAGATGACTGATATGCTAGCCTTTGAGTCACCAGAGTTCAGGTCCCAGCGCTACACAAACATCAAGTCTAGAACTGTTACGACCACTAACACTGGATACCAAGGAGCCACTGAGAGGTACCATTGTGGTATGCTGAAATCACATGCACTCTATTCACCGACCTACATGTATTTTAAAAGTTTATTTTACAGGCTTCTTTCAATTTTCATATGGCTACTAGAAAATTCTAAACCCTTTACATAGTTCTTATTTTAGGCATCGTGGCTGCGGACCACCATAGGGTCACAGCAGCTCAGCCTCACTTATCAGACTAAGAGAACCAGGGCCTACAGAGATCAATCACAGGATATGGACATCTCTTTAGGGAAGAGAGAAGAGATGGGAAGGACAGAGTTGGCCACAGATGAGTGCCATCCTAAGTGCTAGATAGTCTGTGATCCACTGAGTTTCTGTGAGGCTCAGAAAGCCCAAGGAAAAGGGAAGGCATGAAGAAGACAACCAGTTAATGTGCAATTCCACCTGGGATCCATGTCACCCAATTTGTTGTTTGTTTTCTGTTTCTTGTACTAGTCATCCACATCTCAGTACCTGTCCTAGTTAAGTTTTACTGTCAACTTGACACAACCTGGAATCACCTGGGAATTGATGAATTTCCTTATCCAGATTTGCCTGTGGCTATGTCTAGAAGAGACAGTCTTGATTCATGTCGGGAGGAGGGCTCAGCCCACTATAGGCAGTTTCACTCCAAGGCAGGTCCTGGGCTATAGCTAGCTGAGCATAAGTCAAAGAGAAAGCCAGTAAGCAATACTCTTCCATAGTTCCTGCCTTGAGTTTACACACTGGCTCCTCTCATTGATGGACTGTGATCTGGAAGTGTAAACCTAAGAAATCCTTTCTTCCCTCAAGCTACTTTACGACAGAGTGTTGTATCAGAATAACAGAAAGCAAACAGGAACAATGACCTACTCAGAGGCATTCACTCTCTACCAGCTGGTACTTCACTTGAGGGCTCCTTCCCAATCCAGTCCATGACTCCAATGTGATTGAAGGCCCCAGACCCTCACCCACTCCCTTGCGTTGGCAGCCATAACAGGCTGCAGAAAAGACCCAGCAAGATGTATGTCTCTGACTCAGCAACAGGTGCTGAGCCCCCAACCTTGCCCAACCTTGCCATAGTCACTAGGAAGCCAGATGCCCTCCATGTGGCAAGGAACCAATCAGAAGTGTGCTGGCGGGCTCTGGATGTGCTTTACTGATAACAATGTGTTATGAGAAGCTTTTTCTTTTGCTAGCTGCTTTGGTTTATTCCCCGCCAGCCGCCTGGGCTCTGCCTCATTGCAGTCCCCAAATAAACACACAGGAGGCTATATTAATTATGAAGCTGTTGGCCTTGCTTTTTTCTTACTGGCTAGCTCTGATTTAAGTATTTACCCCATAATTGTTAATCTAAGTATGTCTCTTACCGGAGAGGTTTCCGAGCTTCCTACCCCAATGGCGTCACATGTTGACTCTCTTGTCTTTCCCCTTCCCAGAATCCTCCTCGACTCCTAGTCCCTCCTATCTAGGTTTTCTATTGGCCAGACAGTACTTTATTGACAAGTGCACAGGCAAATAACAGGACTTCCCCAACATCTCCTCTTTTCTGTTTAAACAAAAGAAAGGTCTTAATTTTAACATAGTCAAATTGTATATGACAGAACAGTTATCAAATAAGAACATAGTTACAATATTTTAGCAAGAGTTAAAGAAAATATCATCCATCCCATCCTTGTGAGTCCAAAGTCCTATATGTAGCTTATCTTTTATCATAACTAAGGAAAACTATAATTATAACTATCTGTCTTCAACTCCATCAAAGACCACAGAAGGATAATATATAAACACTAGGATTGACAGAGACATCTTACTGCCTGGACAGTCACCCGAAGTTCCTCTGTAACGTTGGGGCATCCATTTTCAGCCCATAGGCCACAATGTGTCTGGAACACTTCTCAGCAAAGCAGGAAATTTCAAACTGTCCATCTGCGTTGGCAGTCTGTCAGTCATTTTTCTTTGTCCTGCAGAAAGTCTCGTAGACTCTTCATCAAGCAGGAACCCTGTAAGACTGAGTTCAGCAGTCACTTTCCTGTGGGTCCTGCATGTCCAGATGATACAACAACAGTCAAACAATCTAGGCAAGAGCAGTTTCTTGCCCAAATGGCTAATCTTGCCATGTTGAAAGCAAACTTTATAACGAGTTTCTTCGATGCCCATCTTCCTCTCAGACGTAATTGGTGCTGCCAGGAGCAGACATTTCTCATTGTCAAGACAAACCCTAAAACATTTTAAATGCCATGTTCTGAAGGTCTTTGAGAGGTTTGAAGACTGTCCATCTCAAATATATTTCTGTATATCTAGAAACCTAACTTATGTAACTAGAAATTCTATTATAAGTAACTATCTATAGTCTGTATTCAATTATGCATTACGTTGTAAAAGATCAGTATAAGCACAATACTTAATCAAGAGGAGAAATATAAGCATCACAAAATTGACCTTGATTTTGTCTCAATAAATGAAAAACAATACCCATACCATAATTCCCCTTTTTACCATTAAAAAGATTGGCTGTGATCACTAGCCAATTATAAACAATCCCATTTAAATGAAAACAAAGATTTATAAACAAGATGGGAATTGGGACGTCGCTCATTCCAAACTGCTTCCTGCTGAAAGGGGCGCTGTTCATACCATGGGGATCATGACAAAACTCAGAAACCTGTATAAGTCCATATTTTCGGGGTCTGTAAAGCTGCATCATCTTAGCTATTTCAGTTGTTGGAACACCTGGTCCACTGCTTCCGGGGGTCTTGGTTCGTCAAACCACAAAAGTCTGGAAGGAATCCTCAGCTTTTCATTTTCTGTGGAAACATAAACTAAAACTCCTTTTCCGAGTAACATATCCTTATACTTAAATTTTGAAGTCAAGGCATTTTTAAAAGATAGAAGTTGGATTAATTCAGCAGCATTTATAATCAAGTGTACTTTAGCAGCTGTTCCTTCCTTAGCAATCAAAAAACTGAAAAACACAATAGCATACAGTATCCAGACTCTCTGTGTATTTTCCATCTTTATGTGGCTTATTTATTTATCTATTATTACTTTATTTCTTTCACTTTCATTTATTTTTCTCTGAGACAGGCTTTCTCTTTGGAAATCCACCTGTCTCTGCCTCTGGAGTAATCCTACCGGCGTGTGCCACCACAGCCAGCTTTTGTATTTATTTACCACTTTGTCGTTTCAGTTTCTCTCTCAATCTCACATATATTTTTAAACACACTGTAAACCTTTAGAAGTTTTTCTTTATCCAAGTCTGACTTTACTGTAAATCTTTATGTTTTTCTGGCCACGTGTCTTATCTGTAAAACCGCGGCTGTTTTAAACTGCCGTTTCAAGATGGCGGGCGTAAGCGTGATTTCAGCTTACCGCCTCAGTCCATGCTGACATCCAGCAAAAGCTGCCACTTCCAGCTGTATGTACTTTCAATCGTTAGCAGAGTCTCTTAAAAGAAGCTTGTTGGTTTTTTTTTTTCTTTCTCTTTTAATGCCAAGTCAGGAAGACTCCAGTAAGCGAGCCACGTGAATCTCGGCTTGTGGCTAGCAAAACAGAGCATACCTGAGAAAAATGCTGCTACCAAAATCTGTGCTTCTCTCTGTTCTTCTGTTTCTAAAATTCCTTTAAAGCTTTTGTTATTTTGCGTGGAAATTCATGATCCCACTCCTGACACCATTTTGTTATGAGAAGCTTTTTCTTTTGCTAGCCGCTTTGGTTTATTCCCTGCCAGCCGCCTGGGCTCTGCCTCATTGCAGTCCCCAAATAAACACACAGGAGGCTATATTAATTATGAAGCTGTTGGCCTTGCTTTTTTCTTACTGGCTAGCTCTGACTTAAGTATTTACCCCATAATTGTTAATCTAAGTATGTCTCTTACCGGAGAGGTTTCCGAGCTTCCTACCCCAATGGCGTCACATGTTGACTCTCTTGTCTTTCCCCTTCCCAGAATCCTCCTCGACTCCTAGTCCCTCCTATCTAGGTTTTCTATTGGCCAGACAGTACTTTATTGACAAGTGCACAGGCAAATAACAGGACTTCCCCAACAACAATGGAATACAGAGCCTAGCAACTTCCCAGGGAGAGTCTCTAAGCATAGCAACCCTTCTGATCAATCAACACAGGACAGGTTGCCCAAGCCCTCAGATGCACCAACCCTGAGACTGTTGCTATGCAACTAGCGGACCCCCAGACAGTCCCCTTGCTCTACCCCAATATATTCCCTGTCCCTACCTGCTTCACCCTCTGTGTCAGATGGATGAGGGGAGGTTAGGTTACCTCATAAAATTAAAGACTCTGCTGTTGCATCAGATCCGGTCTCTTGGTGATTTGGGGGGTTCAGAGTTTGGGCACAACAGTAATAAAGGACGGTCCTGTCCTGGGGCCTCTGCTTTGGAATTGTGGTGGCACAGTGAATAAATAACACCAAAGTAATAAAGATGTGTCTGCAGAGATCTAGAGGTTTAACCCAGGCCCAGAACCACTGAACCATCCCAGAAATGAGCAGAAAGCACATTGAAATCTTTTCCATCTTCTGCTAAAGCACCAAAGACTTCTAACCCCCATGATACAGGGTCAGTTCCCTTGAAAACCTGGATTTCTATAGCACTTGCTGTCTGGAAAAACCTCAGCTGTGCTGGAGAGATTCACTGCATGGCCAAGTCTGCAGAACTCCTCTGGTAGCCAAGCCACTCACTAGCCTACCAGGAAAAGATGATACCATAAGGAAGGGATTTCAAACTGCTGTTGTCCCTAGCTGAGCATTAGCAGAAACCAATTATTTCTGGGCAAAGAGCCACATCACCTGACTGTTGCTGTGTAGCTTTCTTTTAAATTTAGTCTTACTGGAGAGCAGCAAGAAAGGAATTTTCCAGATGCCAGGGCTTTGTGCTTTATAATCCTCTGTGAACTCAACCAAAACCAAAGACATTTTTAAAATTAATGAAGAAAAATATAATAAGGAAGAGATGTATTCTCTTGGGGGAGGTGGTGAGGTCATATTGAAGGATGTTTAATTCCAGATAACACCCTCAACATAGCAGTCTCTTGGCAAAGACCTCCTCCTGTCTTCACAGTCGAGGCTAAATGCCACGAGGCATTCAGAGGCCAACTGGGTCTAAATGGGGCAAACAGTAACACAATCACTCAATCTCACATGCAAGAAGTCGTATTCGAAACTGTCCCCAAATCAGTGGGTGGCGAGCCACCAGAAAAGTCACCTAAGTAACTACCAATGAGTCAGCAAGTTGGATTTTTTGAAAATCTGTGTGTACTTATGTAAGGGGAGGGTTATATGTGTGCTGTGCAATTTGTGTGTGAATACAAGTGTGTGCATTCCATGTGTGTGGATGTCAGTCTTTGTCTTCTACCTTGAGACAGGGTCTCTTATTTGCCATCATATAGGCCAAGCCACCTGACCTTCAAGCTTCTAGGAATTTTGTATCTGCCTCTCATCCTACTGAAGGAGCTCTGGGTTTACAGTTTGTACATGAGTTCTGGGGATTGGAATTCACTTTTGAAGCAGGTCCTTCACCCACTCGGCCATATCCCAACACTGCATTGCTTTTATGCAGGGCCTTGCTGTGTCGCCCTGGTTGGCCTTGAACTCTTAGGGTCAAACAATCTTCTCAAGTCAGCCTCCCGAGTAGCTGGGATTATAGGTGCATACCTCCAAGCCTAGCTTCATCGGTCTGAAATTATACAGAGGCAGAAGCTGGGAACACACCTGTCAGAAAGCAGAGTCATCAGCTGCACGTTGCCAGGGAAGCTTACCCACCTCTGCAAGATGTCCCCCCTCAGTGGACTTCACTTGCTTGTCTTCTGATTTCCCAAGGTCATCCAAGCCATGGCCAAGTGAGACCTCATCCCTAGGAGAGATGCTTGTCTCCTTGGCAGTGTTTGTGTCTGCTTTGTTACAGCAGAGCATAGAATCCATTGACTTGTGTGGTAAGCAGACCTGGGACTGGATGCTGGTGAACGAGTTTATGTGAGCAATACGGTAAACCCTTGGATCCCTCAGACAACAGTGCCTTGACCTTGACATTCAGCTGGTGCATTTTGCTTTAGCACCAACTGTTTCCCTATATCAACTATGATAGACCCTGTTAGATGCTTTTTCTCAAAACTGTTTTATCTATGACAGCAGGTCCTTACTAGCAGACCTTTATAGAAGCTAAAAGAAATGTCAGGCCCGTATTTCTAAGCATTCTGGAAATGAGAGTCCTTTTTGTTGTTTGGGTTTTTGTTTGTTTGTTTGTTTGTTTGTTTTGAGACAGGGTTTCTCTGGATAGCCTTGACTGTCCTAGAGCTTGTTCTGTAGACCAGGCTGGCCTTGAACTCAGAGATCGTCTGCCTCTGCCTCTTGAGTGCTTGGATTAAAGGTGTATGCCACCACTGCCTGGCTGAGAATCCCTTTAATAGGACTGGGGCAGGAAGGCAGGGGAGCTGCAAAGGGGCTTCTGAGATTTTCTGTCTTTTAAAGAAAACATCTTAAAAGAAATTTTGCTTTTACTCCCTGTACTAGTTCCAATGACTGCCCTAACAATTATCACAAACAGTGGTAAAAACAGCAGAAATTCATTCTTTCACAATTTGAAAGAACTGAAGTCCAAAGTCAGTATCATGGGGTCAGACTGCCTCCAGGGATCCTAGGGATGAACCATTTCCTTGTCTCTTGTGGTTTCTGTAGCCACTGGCATTGATTAGCTTCTGTCTAATCAATTGATCACTTCTCGTTCCTGTGTCTGTAGTCATACCACCTTCTCCTCTTCTGTAGCCAAGTTCCTTTCTGCCTCCCTCTTATTTGGGACACAGGCGATCACATGTAGAGTACATCTCTCCAGTCTTCACAGTCTAGGATAGTGCTTTTGAAAGTTTTTCATATGAAGTAGCACTCAGGTGCCAGGGATTAGATGAATCCCTACAGAACAAGGGGCAAGAAGGCCAGATACCTAGAGCTTATGACAGCCATGTGCCTATCTTAGGTAGACCAGACAGAAGACACAAACAGAAAGAAGGTACATAACTGTGGCTTAGTGGCATGGGATGCTCTTGACATAATTAAACATGGAATCATCTCCCTTTGATTCAATTTATTTAAAAGAAGTTTTGGGGGTTTTGTTTTTGTTTGTTTGCTTGCTTTTGTTTCTTGGTTTTGTGAGACAGGGTTTCTCTGTGTAGATTTGGAGCCTGTCCTGGAACTAGCTCTTGTAGACCAGGCTGACCTCAGAGTCCCATGTGCTGGGACTGATGGAGTGTGCCACCATTGCCCGGCTTAAAAGAATGTTTAATAAATATTTCGTACAATATTTTGGCCACATTTTTCCCTTCCAAATTCCTCCCTGATCCTCTCTACTTCCCTACTCACTCAAGGCCCACCCCCCACTCCCCACCCCAGTGAAAAAATGTCAGAACAACAAAAAGCACTACCCTCCAATATACACACGCACACACACACACACACACACACACACAATTCATTTTGTGTTGGTTAACCACTCTTAGGTATGGGGTCTACCCCAGAGTGTAGTTGATAAATGCAATGGAACTCTGCTGGAGAAAACTGATTTTCCCTTTGCCAGCAGGTATCAGCTGCAAATAGCTTCTCAGACAGGAGTTGAACCCTGTGCCCACCTGCCCATGTCAGTGCTGGGACTCCATGGGCCTCGAACCTGTATAGACCCTGTGCATGCTGCCGCAGTCTGTGAGTTTGCATGTGCATCAGCCCTGTGGTATCTGGAAGACACTGTTTCCTTGGCGTCATCCATCACCTACTGTTCTTACATCAGTCTTCCTCCTCCCCCAGATAGATCCCTGAACCTTGAAAGGAGAGATGTGATGAAGGTATCCCTCCCATTCAGGACCTCGTGTTCCAAAGTTTCTTCTGCACATTATCCGGTTGTGGGCCTGTGTTAGTTCCCATCTACAGCAAGAAGAAGCATCTCTGATGATGACTGAGCAATTCCTGATCTATGGGTGTATTGGGTAGTACTGTGTGGCAACTTGACTCAAGCTAGAGTCATCAGAGGGAGGAGCCTCGGCTGAGGACACGCCTCCTTGAGATCCAGCTGTAAGGCATTTTCTCATTTAGTGATCAATGAGAGAGGGCCCACCCCTTGCTGGATGGTGCCATCCCTGGGCTGCTGGTCCTGGGTTCTGTAAGAAGATGGGCTGGGTGAGCCATGGGAAGCAATTCAGTAAGTGGCTCCCCTCCATAGTTTCTGCATCAGTTCCTGCCTCTGGTATCCTGACCTTTTTGAGTTCCTATCCTGACTTCCTTTAGTGATGAACAGCAATGTTGAAATGTTCCTCCCCAACTTGCCTTTTGGGCATGGTGGTTCATTGAAGCAATAGAAACCTAATTAAGACAGTGACTAATCTAACAGATAGGAAACTATGAACTCAAGGTTGTTGCATCACTTGAATCTTCAGGGACAAGGCTAGGACAGAGGAAACTTTCATTAGACCACCAGCTACTTGAGCAATTGTAATATCAACATCCTTAATTAAAAGGGATGTATTTGCAGTATAATATCTGTAGGCTTCACATGCAAATAATAATGGTGTTTGCTATGGTAATGACACTGTGGTCACACTTCATATAAAACACAATTAATATTATCTTCCTGAGCGTTTATGTTGCTCCAAGTATTATTCCAGGCAAAATATATTTCTCATTCATTCTTTCTCTACTTCTTACATGCATACACACACACACACTACACACACACACACACACACACACACACACACACACACACACACACGCTCCCCTTATTTAAATCTCACAGTGTTAGATTTGGCTTAGAAATGAGAAACATGAAGCAAGCACTGAAAAGCAAATCACCCAGGGTCCCAAAGCTAAGACTCCCTCCCACCACGCTCCTTCCCACCATGCTCCCTCCCCACATGTTATATAGTTCCTATAAATTTATCCAACATTAAGTCAGAAAACAATTGTGGTACACAGCTTTAGCAACTGGAAACTATTGAATGAGTTGGCCATCTTACCTGTCACTTGAACTCTAGAGAAAAAATGGATTGATTATAGGGTCTGTTGCTTTTCTGGTTGAAGCACCTGTCTAATAAAAGAAAGGTAAAGAAGACAGTATTAGAAGAACAGAGCAAACCAGAGGACAGAAAAAGGACCAGCATGATCTAGGACTCTTAGAGGCATGCTCCTTTAAACGACAAGCATTAGGACCATGGCCATCCACTTGGGTAGACACCAGTATCTATTTGAAGTAATTGATACCCCTTGATAACCAGCATTTCAGAACTAAGGCTGGACTGGTCACTTATTGTCACCGTAGAAGTGCCTATTATGAAAACAAACCAAATCCATCCTGGGCTAATTCCATCAAATACAGTAAACTGTATTGTGTGTGTGTAAGTGTTGTGCCTGCATGTATGCAGGTCAGAAGAGGATGTCAGAGCACCTGGAACTGGAGTTACAAACGTTTGGGATGGGAACCACCGTGTGGGTGCTGGGATCTGAATCTGGGTCCTCTGAAAGGACAGCAAGTGCTCTTAACTACTGAGCAATCTCACTGGCCCTTCTAAAATACGTTTTATCTCCACTTTCTTTACTTTGCTTTGGAAATTTTCAAATCCTAGAAAAATCTGACAGTCTAATCCCTATGTAAACATGCTTGTTCTTTCACATTTTGCCAGCACCCAATCTTAAAAAACAAATAGTATCTGAGACCGCATTCTTGGTGACTAACAAAACAGCATCACAGAGGAGGGAACTTTACTTAAATCTAAAGAATGCATATCTGGAAATCCTGTAAATATTTAACTTTGTGAGTCAAGGTGGCTGCTCCAGAAAATGTATGTCCAGGAAAACAACCAATAACTAAGTTGATTGTGTTGATTCCTGCAAACATGATTGTCGGGACAGTTTGCTTAAATGGAGACCAGTCCTCCTATTCAGACGGAAGAATGGCAGTCATCAAGAAGTCAAGCAGCAAATGCTGGTGAGGTATACAGAAAAGGGAGCCTTTACACTCTGTTGGCAGGGATATGAGCTAGCCCAGCCGGTATAGAAATTAGCACAGGGTTCTAGAAGAAATAGACCTACCATCTGACACAATGCTCTCACTCCTGGGTGTTCATTCAAAGGACTCCAGCACATCACAGAGATACCTGTATGTCAAGTGTCCACTTCAGCACAATTCAAAATAACTAAGACATGGAGCGAACTCAGGTGTCCAGCAACAGAAGTGGTGGTGGTGGTGGTGATGTGTGTGTGTGTGTGTGTGTGTGTGTGTGTGTGTGTAGAGAGAGAGAGAGAGAGAGAGAGAGAGAGAGAGAGAGAGAGAGAGAGATTTGTTTTCAGTTATGAAGAAGAAAGTGATGACATGTGCAGGAAAATGAAGGTAATTGGGAATAATCAGACCAAGCGAATTATGCCAATCTCAGAAAAACAGATATTCCAGTTCTTCTCTCATTTGTGGTCCCTAGAGTTTATACAGATACATAGGATATTGCATGAATATATGGCATGAAAGAACAGGTGAAACTGCTTAAGGGGACAAAGAGTACTTCAGGGAAGGAGGGGCTTGAAAAAGAGGGCAGAGGAGTTATGGGCAGGATGCTCAACATGCAATGTAAGGCTTACTACCATGTCTTATGCACCGCAGCATCATGTACATTGACATCACAAATTTACAGCAAATAAAATTGAAAAAGAGATTTGTACTTATAGTGACTTCCACAGTCTTCTTTCTTTATTGTCTCAGAGATACATTTAGAGTCGGGACAGATAGACCAGCAGTTAAGAGCGTTTGCTGCTCTTACAGAAGGCTGGTGTTCATTCAGTTCTCAGCACCCGCACTGGGAGGCTCATAACTGCCTGTAACTCCAGCTCTATGGGATCTTATGCCCTTTTCTGGTCTAAGTGGGCACCTTGTCCCACCTCATATAAAGTATACATACAAATATAAATAAATAATAGATAAATTAACTCTTTTACATATTTTTGATGGCCCCATATCTGTGTTTCTACAGCAAGGATATGGCATATTCCTCATTAAAGTCAGCTACAAAATATCAGAACTAGGTCCATCAGAGTATCAAGAAGAAATGGTAGATTTCAAAGTAGACTCAAGAAGCACTGTGTGGTAGGCTTGCTAGACTAGTAAGAAGGTCTGCATTTTCTTTCATTTTCCCCCACAACTGTTGTTTATACTGAAGCCTAGACATGAAAATACACTTGACATAAGAATCAGTACTCGGGTCTCTGCATGTGTATTGTATCTATGTATGCATTTGGTTTACATGTAGCTGTTGGATGAAGATGTTTCTGAAGTATCTGCCCTTGTTACATTCAGTGTGCTCTGACCTTGTCTATTCTGGCCCATTGTTCTTTTTCATTATTTTAGGGGCTGCAGAGATAGCACAGAGATTAAGAGAGCTCTGCTCTGCAGATCTGGGGTCAGTTCCCAGCTCCAACATCAGACAGCTCACAACCACCCACAGCTCAAGTTTCAGAACATCTGATGTCTTCTTCTGGCCTCCATGGCATTCACACACACACACACACTCACACACACACACACACACACACACACACACACACAAATAAATCCTTTAAAAGCATAGTTTGACAGCCATTACATAAGCTTTAACAGCCAATGAGTCAATCCCCACACTGAACAACAGTCTCAGAATTGAGACAGCAAATGAAATGGCATTCAGCACCTTGGCCTGTCCTTAGACTTTGGAACCTCAGACTTATCTTTAATTTCCACCCAGAAAAGGCATATGCCCAAAGTTTTAACCTGATTTCATTTCTGACATACTATCAGGTCAGAGGCTGCAGAACAAAAACACTAGGAGGGGGCTGGGGAGACAGCTCATTGGAGAGAGCACCCCCCCACACAAGTGTGGGGAGCAAAGTCCACATTCCCAGAGCACATACTGAAAGGTACTTTGCAGACATGACAGCGGTGGGGAAGCCGAGACAGGGAATTCCTGGAGCATGCTGAATAGCTAACTCAGTAGAGCTGGTGGGCTTGAGCAGAGATCCACAGCTAACCACTGGCCCGAATTCCTCGAATCCAGTTGTAGAGAGGAAGGAGTGATGAGCCAAAAGGTCAAGACTATGCTGGGGAAACCCACAGAAACAGTTGACCTTAGCAAGTAGGAACTCACAGACCCCAGTCTGACTGCTGGAAATCAGCACAGGATCGAACCAGATCCCCTGAATGTGGTGTCAGTTGCAGGGGCTGGGCAGTCTATGGGACCTCTGGCAGTGGTACCCAGTGTATGAATGGGTTTCGGCAGCATCTTCCCTATGGAGGGATACTCTCTCGGTCTAGATACAGGTGGGGAGGGTCTCTGCCCTGCCCCAAATACGACAGACTTTGATGATCCCCCATGGGAGGCCTCACCCTCCCTAAGGAATGGATGGGAGGGTGGAATGGGGGATTGGTGCAGGGAATGGGAGGGCAGGAGGGAGAGGGAACTGGGATTGGTATGTAAAATAAGATTGTTTTTAATTTAAATAAAATTAATTTTAAAAACTGGTGGGCTTGTAGTTCAGTTAGAGACTGTCATCAATAAATGAAGGGAATGACAACTGAAGACACCTGATATCAGTCTCTGGTGTCAATGCATGTGAACCCACACACATGTGTACACACACACACACACACACACACACACACACACACACACACACACACACAAAGAAAAACACCTACAATCCCTGGCTTCATTCCCAGACTTCCTTGGGATTCCTCATTCCCAAGGTGGATTGAGAAACAAAAAAGCCAGAGAATTCTCTCTGACATTGCAACACAATTTTTCACAATGTTCTTCTCTTCTCCCCTGTGGGTAGTGATACTGAAATCCAGCCTAAGAGGAAACTCGTGGTCCTGTGGTAACTGGAGGAGACATGACCCTCCAACCCCCACTTGATGAGCTTGGCAGTGTCTCTTGGAAAGACTCTTTCCTAGGGAAGGAGTAACTCCATTTTGGTCAAGATGGCCAGCTAGCTAGAGTTGACAATGAACACCTAGCAATATCTCCCAAAGAAGCAAAATCTTTCTCTGCATCTCCTGAGAACCACAGCAGAGAAATTTTCTGTAGGAGTCTAAGGAGCCCAAAGAGTTGAGAACTGATGCAGGCCATGCTTGAGGTTCCATGAGAAGAACAGAAGGGTGGGGGATGTTGGAAGACCAACTTTCAGGATTCCATCATGAACAGAAGTCTCTCTCCGCTTTTAGGAAACAGACTCCCCCAGCTCATCTCTCAGCATGCTCTATGTCTGCCTCTTGAATAGAATGCCAGCTGGGCAGTTCCCACAGACACAAGCGGAAGTGGCAAAACCTGCATCCTGAAGATTCTGGACATCCTCTGTTCTTCATAATGTAAGCCAGGAGAGAAGACATGACCACTAGGCATGGGAGCTCACTTTGCCCAAGCCAGAACAGTGGCTAAGAAATCACAATAATGGTAGAGAAAGATACTGGGAACTAAAAAATACGGAAGTCAAACATATGCGCCCATGGCTTATAAACTACCCCATGAGCAAAACCATGGCAGCCGATAGGGCTGGATGCTCCTCGTGCTCCTCTCAAGTACTTCACAGCCTTAAGGCCATTAGCTGCGTTTATATCAGTCTGAGGACTGGTGGGGGGCTGGGGACAGGAAAGAGCACAGTGTAACATTCCCTACATGAATGTCCCCAAAAGCAGTGCTGTGTTCCCCCAACAACCCTCCTTGAAGGACGATCGTGCTAGCAAGTCGGGTAGCAGACACAAATATAGAACCTCCACTCAGAAGAATGCGGACCTCCACAAGATCCCAGTGCGGAGACCCTTTAGCCTGGAGTAAATCCCCCACTCCCGCAACAGATGGAAAGGCCTGCTAATACAGGAAAATAAAATATATTGGAGCACTGCGGGGAGCCAGAGTGGCCCAAGGCTTTCTCAGAGGCACCCATGAAAGGACAAAGGGAACTTTAATTCCCTATTCTTGTCTAGGAGAGGGCTTGGCCAGGCTGGTCTGAGGCAGTGCCTCTAGGGAGTGGAGTCAAGGTTGCAGTTTCTGGGAACCTGACTCTGCACACACCCCCCTGTGTTATCAGTCTAAGGCACCTGCAGCCGAGGTATCCTGTATTCTCTTTGCCAACATTTTCTGACCTCACTCTCTGCTGAACTTGACCATCCCCCCTCTCCCTGTGCAAACAGTACATCTGATTCTGTATTTCTTAAAAAAAACAAACAAACAACTTTTTATCTCAATTAAAAACAATCTTATTTTACATACCAATCCCAGTTCCCTCTCCCTCCTGTCCTCCCATGACCTCTCACCAACGTCACATCCCATTCCTCATCCACTCCCCAGGGAGGGTGAGGCCTCCCATGGGGGATCATCAAAGTCTGTCACATCATTTGGGGGCAGGGCCTAGGTGCTCTCTCAGGTATCTAGGCTGAGAGAGTATCCCTCCACAGGGAATGGGCTCCCAAAGTCTGTGCACTAGGGATAAATCCTGGTTCCACTGCCAGAGGTCCCATAGACTGCGCTGGCAGCCTGATTCTGTATTTCTTAATGAGCTTGCCTGGCATAACTCATCAGCTTATGCAAGACCGCCTGGCACGCACTCTCTTGTATCTTCAGTGTCTTCTGTCCTTTATTTCTCATCCCAGCCTTCCCACTCCACACCTTATTCCTGCAGATTTGGCTCAGAGCACATTGGTTCTGTGAGAAGAGCAAGGAAAGGCCATTGGAATCCACGGATCAGAAAACCAACTCAATGAGGTAGTGGGTTATCCAGTGATGTTCTCCCGGAAGCAGTGGAGCTCCAGGCAGGACTCACTGTCTTAGTCGAGTTTCTATTGCTGTGAGAAAACATGAGGATCAGACGCGTCTTGGGGTGGGGGTGGGTCAGAGAGCTTGTTTCCGCCTACAGCTTGAAGTCTATCACTAAGGGAAGCCAGGGCAGGAGTTCAAGGCAGGAGCCTGGAGGCAGGGACTGAAAGAGATGCCATGGAAGAATGCTTCTTGCTGCCTTTCTCCCCAGCCCGCTTTCTTATGCCACCAGGACCACCAGCGCGGGGATGGCACCACCCACAGTGAGCTGGGCCCTCCCACATCAATCACTCATCAAGACGACATGCCAAAGACTTGCCTACGGGCCCATCTTTTGGAAGAATTTTCTCAGCTAGGATTCCCTCTTCCTAGATATGCCCAGGTTTGTGTCAAGCTGGCAAAAGCCAGCCAGCACATTTGCGCTCCACTGTCACACCTGCCACAGCAAAGAGTCGTGGGACACTCATGTTGTACTGTCACACATGCCACAGTGAAGAGTCCTGGGAGTCTGTGTCCTGTACAGGAGCAGTAGGGAGGTGCACTGGGCAACAGGACTAACCCGAGGGTCCAGAAGCTCTCTCTGCAAACCCTTCAGTGTTCAGGTACTGATAGTCTAGGTAAGAGTTCACTCCTGAGCTGCCAGAAATCAGATTGCCTCCATGCCCCATCTCATGGAGCAGTATTTACCTGGAAGATAACATCTGGGATGAAGTGATCATTTGGATATAATTGTGGAATGGTGAGATTTAATTCCCAAGACCTGTGTGCTTTTCACATTGAGACAGGGTGTACTGTCTGATTATATCAGTTGCTTTTCTGTCGCTGTGATAACACAACGACTAAAGACAAATTATAAAAGGAAGGGGGCATTTCTACTTACAGTTCCAGAGGGTCCATCATGGCGGGAGTCAGTGCAGCAAGCAACAGACATGGCGGCAGGAACAGGAAGCTGAAAGCTCACATCTTCAAAGGCAAGCAGAGGGCAGAGAGAGCGAACTGGAAATGGTGTGAGGATTTCATCTCAAATCCTGCCTCCAGTGACACGCTTCCTCCAGGAGGGCTGTGGTACCTAAATGTCCCCAAAGAGTAGGACCAGCTGGGATCATTTGGACATTGGTACAAATCATTGAATCTATGGGAAAACATTCCTCATTTAAACCACTGTACTGATGATCAATTTATCTCTCCCTCTCCCTCTCTGCCTCTCTCCCTCTCCCCTTGAATTCATTTTAAATACAAGCTTATCCAGACACACACTCCATACCATCTTTAAAATCTCACATGTTTGTATAGGTGTGTGTGAGGAAGTGTACATACATTTATGTGGGATGCATGTGGATGCCAGAGGTTGAGATCAGGTATTGCTACTCAGACACCATTCACCTCATTCTGAACAAGGCCCTAATTGGCCTAAAGATCCCTGAGTAGGCTAGACAGGTTGACCAGCAAATTCCAGGAATCTGCCCTTCTCAGCCTCCCTAGCTCTGGAATTACAAGTGTGTGACTCCATGCCCAGCTTTAGTTACATGGGTCCCAGTGGTCAAATGCAGACCTCCTGGTTTTCAAGTCAAGCGCTTTTCCAGCTGAGCTTTCTCTCTAGTCCTGCAAAGTTTTCTTAAAGAAGAATATTCTGGAATCAGCATCCAAGGGGATCCTGGCCACTGCTTCATGCATATGAACCAGCAGTCCTCCCTCACATTGAGAAATTATGTGTGGCTTGCAATACCTTCCCGAGGGTTTAGTCCATTTCACTTGCTCAAGAAATACTGAGATGAGTGCATGCCTTGTTCCAGGCTGAGGTGGGTGTAGGGACACTCTGGTCTCTGCTCCCTGGGAGCTTGTAGAGAAGCAGAGGACGCAAGATGTAGCCAGAGTGGAGGAGGCAAGATATACCCAGAGACAGACACCACTAGACAACAGATGGTTCAGAACAGGCACACCGGAAAGCAGCAGACCCACGTGTGGGCCGTAGCTTCAGGGCTCTTGGCTCTGTGGCTTGGCAAGATTACGACCTTGTTAAATCTGTCTTGTCATTTGTATAAAGAGGTAATAGCAGGACCTACTGCACAGGGTTTATGTAAAAATTGAACAAGCAAATGTTCTCTGTTTCCTGCTGCTAAAACGTAAGGGGGGGATACTAGATAGGCTTATTTAGTTTAAAATTCCAGGGACTGAAAGCCCAAGTCATGTAGCACCAGCTCTGGTGAGAGTCTCGGTTGTCTGGGACGGCATCTTGGTGTGGTGTGGCTGAGAGAGTGAGTGATTGCAAGGTGAGGCAGGACTCTAGGATGGCTGAGCTCTCATGTGGACTACATTTACCTTCTTGTCTCTCCCATGGCACCGAGGTTGCAAGTTTGCATGGCCATGCCTGGGTTTTTTATTTGTTTGTTTTGTTTTTTAACTTGAGTTCTCAGTATTTGAACTTAGGCTCAAACAAGCCCTCATACCCTCCGTCCCCTCAGCCTTTTGAACCCTACTCCTTTTTTTTTTTGTCTTTTTTTTTTTAATTTAAATTAGAAACAAGGTTGCTTCCCATGTCAATCCCAGCTCCCTCTCCCTCTCCTCCTCCCATGCCCTCCCACCAGCCCTCCCCTCCCCCTTGCCCAATCCCCACTCCTTTCCTCAGGGAGTCATTTCATCCAGGGCAGGGCCTAGGCCCTCTCCCAAGAATCCAGGCTGAGATAGCATCTCTCATTGCGGGATGGGTGTCCAAAGTCCATTTGTATGCCGGGGATAAATACTGATCTACTACCCAAGGCCCCATAGATTTCCTAGGCCTCTTCACTGACACCCACATTGAGGAGGTCTGGATCAGTTCCATACTGAATTCCCAGCCATCAGTCTGGGGTTCAAGAGCTCCCCCTTCTTCAGGTCAGCTGTTTTTCCTTCAAGGGCACCTCCCACTTTCTCTTCTAAAAGGTTCAGTGTGGCTGGATTTATGTTGAAGTCTCTGATTCATTTGGACTTAAGTTTTGTGCATGGCGATAGACATGGATCTATTTGCAGTCTTCTACATGCCAGCCTCCAGTTATGCCAGAACCATTTGTTGAAGATGCTTTCTTTTTTCCATTGTATATATTTAGCTTCTTTGTCGAAGATCAGATGTTCATATATGTATGGGTTAATATCAGGGTGTTCAATTCGATTCCATTGGTCTACCTGTTTATTTTTGTGCCAATACAACTCTATAATAGAGCATGAAATCAGGGGTGGTGATGCCTCCAGACATTGCTTTGTTGAATAGGGTTGTTTTGGCTATCCTGGGTCTTTTGTTTTTCCATATAAAGTTTCTTATTGTTCTTTCAAGGTCTGTGAAGAATTGTGCTGAGATTTTAATGAGGATTGCTTTGAATCTGTAGATTGCTTTTGGCAAAATTGCCATTTTACTTACATTGATCCTACCTATCCAAGAGCATGGGAGATCTTTCCATGGTCTTCTTTAATTTTTTCCTTTAAAGTCTCAAATTTCTTGCGATACAGGTCTTTCATTTTTTTGGTTAGTATTACGGCTCAGCTGTTAAAGGCTAGGCTCACAACCAAAATAACCCTACTCTTTCTATGCTTCACAAAACAGTAAGCCAAGAAGATCATTCTTGGTTTCTTGGAGTTCTGGTGTTTGCTTCATATAACTTCACCCAGTTATTTTGGCACAGTTAGGCTAGTGTGATTTTAAAACATAACACACACACACACACATGCACACAAATGAGGCAAGGTGCATTCTAAGATGTTGCAGGGGACAGGCGGGAAGAAGGAGGAGAAGGAGGGCAAGCTGGGAAGAACGGGGCCTAGGAATCTCCTCTGCAGCTTTTGCTTTTGTCTTACCGTTTCTTTCAGTTTCTCCCACATAGCCTAGATTTCTATCCCCAACAGCCCCCAAGACAATCCTCTGCTATTTTCTCAAGAACTATTATGATAAAGTTTTATAGCCTCTCTCTGCTTCGGGGCATCACAGGGTAATAGTCTTGAATGGTCTCAGGATGGATGAAATCTATACCTGTGCTCTAATAAAAATGCTTTTCCAGACCGCTAAGTCTTCCCGCTGCCTCTTTAGAGTCTCTGAAGCAGAGCTAGGCTTTCTCTGTGTTTGCACCCTAACTGGGCCCCTTGGATCACTGGTGTATTTACACTAAACGGGAGCATTCTCTAAAGGAAAAAAAAAAAGACCATAAACATCAGCCAGGCTTAGGAAAGCTTTCTAAGCAGGGAGATTGTTTAGGTCTTTGCATATGTTTGTTACACTCTCTTGCGGCATTTCCGGTGATATTATCAAAGCTTGTTTTGAGACAGTGTCTCTCTCTGTGCCGCCCAGACTAGCCTGAAACTGGTTGTCTTCTTGTCCCATGCCCTTCTTCTCAAACTACCGGTATGTGGCACCATGCCAAGCTCGCTCCTTGTATCTTATTTGGGATCCTATCCTTAAAGGTAATTTCTTATATTTGAGTGTTGGCAAAACTAAAGTCACGAAAAGTTTTAAAATCTTCTATTACCGATACATTCCAACAAGGCAAAAGTCACTATGTAAAAACAAAACGTGGCTTTAGTTGGGAAAGTTTAGTAGTGGCTCAGAATCCCAAATGGGTGAAGGAGGACACATACAGCTCATAGCCTGCTTTGATCATCATTGGGCTGAGAATGCTTTATGTTTTCAAAGGGTTTAAAGACAAAGCAAAGAAGAATATTCAGCAAATTTTACTTCAAAGTTAAAAAATTCTTTTACTTTTTACAAAGTGTTTTGCCAACTCTTGTTCTCTGTTGTCATTTCTTGCCAGGCCTGATACAGTGCTTATCTGTTTTTCTTTTGATTATCAACATAACCTTTCATTCTGTACTTAGTGCAACTTGGGGTTTTAAAATACTTTAGCATTCTTCCTTGTGTTTACTTTTTTGACAGTGACTAATTTTCTGATGCCATGTATTCATTCATATGTGTTAAGCCCCTACATCAGGCCCGGCACTTCCTAACCAGGGTCAGGAAGCCAGGCTGTGATTTCCAACAAAGCCCCCAATATCAGCTGCTTATAGATATTATGGAATCATATTAATTCTTTTTTGGGGGGGTTAGTTCGAGACAGGGTTTCTCTGTGGCTTTGGAAGCTGCCCTGGAACTAGCTCTGTAGACCAGGCTGGTCTCAAACTCACAGAGATTCGCCTGCCTCTACCTCTTGAGTGCTGGGACTAAAGGCATACACCGCCACCACCTGGTGAATTCCTTTAATTTCTCAACCATTTTCTATGATTTCCCTTTGACTACAAGACAAAATACAATGTTGTTAGGCTAGCCATCTTATGGCCTTCCACAGTGACTTTATAATCTTACCTCCTATTGCTCCCAACATAGACTCAACTCACTAGGCGATTATGATCCAAACACAGCCCATTCATTTCTGAATTTATTCTGTTGAATAGATCAATCCATATCCTGGAAACACTCCAGATAGTTCCACTAAAAAAATGAGTTAGTAGAAACTTGGTGAGAATACTTCAGTGCCAGATGTGGCAAACCATTCATACAGAAGCTGTTTTTAACTTGGTGGATTTCACCCTCAAATACTAAGGAACAATGAACTAAGAGTACCCAACAAGTCTACATGTGCCAACCCCAAAAGAACCAAAGTTGTGACTCCTGTAAGGTAACTTAACTCCAAACCTTTTACATTCTTTCATCCACTCAGTATGAAGCATGTATATTAACTAATTTTATGTTGTTGTGATAAAACACAATGACCAAAATCAACTTAGAAGAAAAAATGGCTTATCTTGGTTTGTTTTATTCCAAAGATAAATTCCACCATGGCAAGGAAGGCATGGTAACAGGATCAGAAAACTGGAAGTCAATATTTCATCTCCACACAGGAAGCAGAGAAAGAGAGGACAGGTAGTAGGTTAAATTGTCACCCTCACAGCCCACCCCAGTGACATACTTCCTCCAGAAGGGCTCCACCTCCTAAACCTTCTGTAACTCCCTCAAACAGCTTCACCAGCTGGAGAACAAATGTCCAACTATGTGACCCTTACAGGTACGTTTCTCATGCAACCACCAAAGAATGAAAGGCTCATTGGGCTCTA